ATTCCCACCTGGATGTTCCCCATGACCCTGGCGCATTCCCGGTGATCCCTGGACATTCATTCCCCACCCCCCCTGGACATTCCCGGACATTCCAGGCCATTCCTGCCCCATTCCCGGTGATTCCCACCTGGATGTTGCCCATGACCCCGGTGGATTCCCGGCGATCCCTGGACATTCATTCCCCATCCCCCCCAGACATTCCTGGACATTCCTGGTCATTCCTGCCCCATTCCCGCCCCATTCCCACCTGGATGTTCCCCATGACTCCGGTGCATTCCCGCTGATCCCTGGACATTCCCGGTGATTCCCGGCAATTCCCGGTGATCCCCACCTGGCTATTCCTTCCCCATCCCCCTGGACATTCCCAGTGATTCCCAGTGATTCCCACCTGGACGTTCCCCCTCCCCCAGGACATTCCTGGTAATTCCTGGCTATTCCCGGCCACAATTCCCGGTGCGATTCCCGCCCCATTCCCACCTGGATGTTCTCCATGACCCCGGTGCATTCCCGGTGATCCCTGGCTATTCATTCCCCATCCCCCCCAGACATTCCCAGTGATCCCCAGCTATTCCTGGCCACAATTCCCGGCCACAATTCCCAGCCACGATTCCCAGACAGAATTCCCACCCCATTCCCACCTGGATGTTCCCCATGACCCCGGTGCATTCCTGGCGATCCCTGGACATTCATTCCCCATCCCCCTGGACATTCCCAGTGATTCCTGGCTATTCCCAGACACAATTCCCAGACACAATTCCCAGACACAATTCCTGCTGATTCCCACCTGGACGTTCCCCATCCCCCAGGAAATTCACGGTGATTCCCAGACACAATTCCTGGACACAATTCCTGGATGCGATTCCCGCCCCATTCCCACCTGGATGTTCCCCATGACTCCGGTGCATTCCCGGTGATTCCCAGCTTTTCATTCCCCATCCCCCCATCCTCCCGAACATTCCCGGTGATTCCCAGACACAATTCCCGCTGATTCCCACCTGGATGTTCCCCATCTCCCAGGAAATTCCCGGTGATTCCCGGACACAATTCCCGCTGATTCCCACCTGGACGTTCCCCATCCCCCAGGAAATTCCCGGTGATTCCTGGACACAATTCCCGGTGCGATTCCCGCCCCATTCCCACCTGGATGTTCTCCATGACCCCGGTGCATTCCCGGTGATCCCTGGACATTCATTCCCCATCCCCCCCAGACATTCCCAGTGATTCCCGGCATTCCCAGACACAATTCCCAGACACAATTCCCACTGATTCCCACCTGGACGTTCCCCATCCCCCAGGAAATTCCCGGTGATTCCCAGACACAATTCCCGGTGAGATTCCCGCCCCATTCCCACCTGGATGTTCTCCATGACTCCGGTGCATTCCCGGCAATCCCTGGACATTCATTCCCCATCCCCCCCCCGGACATTCCTGGTGATTCCCGGCATTCCCAGACATTCCCGGACACAATTCCCGGTGCGATTCCCGCCCCATTCCCACCTGGATGTTCTCCATGACCCCGGTGCATTCCCGGTGATCCCTGGCT